TATACCTACCTACCCTATTTTTTTCGGCATGTAACGGTAACCACACATATATTTTGTTTTGGCCTAACTAGAAATGTAACATTTATTGGCATTATAGTGGTAACTAGAAGTGTCACGTTTATTGATGCTCTAATGATAATATATGGCACTTTCTCGCAGTTATTGATCTGCAAGTAATTAAATAAGGAAGTGCCTCCTAGTTAGTGAGTTGGCTGTAAGCATTGCTCAGATTGGAGGCATACACAATTCGGTCTCAACCATTAATTATCAATTGATCTCATTTGCTCTACATGTAGAGCAAATGAGATCAATTGATAATTAATCTATAGTAGGCAGTAGACATGTTGCTTCTACATCTATAGTAGGCAGTAGATATGTTGCTTCTACATCTATAGTAGGCATGCAGTAGATGTGGGGCTTCTACATCTATAGTAGGCAGTAGACATGTTGCTTCTACATCTATAGTAGGCAGTAGATATGTTGCTTCTACATCTATAGTAGGCATGCAGTAGATGTGGGGCTTCTACATCTATAGTAGGCAGTAGACATGTTGCTTCTACATCTATAGTAGGCATGCAGTAGATGTGGGGCTTCTACATCTATAGTAGGCAGTAGACATGGGGCTTCTACATTTATAGTAGGCAGTAGACATGGGGCGTCTACATCTATAGTAGGCAGTATAGACATGGGGCTTCTACATCTATAGTAGGCAGTAGATATCGGGCTTCTACATCTATATAGTAGGCAGTAGACATGGGACTTCTACATCTATAGTAGGCACTAGATATGGGCTTCTACATCTATAGTAGGCAGTAGACATGGGGCTTCTACATCTATAGTAGGCAGTAGATATGGGGCTTCTACATCTATAGTAGGCAGTAGATATGGGGCTTCTACATCTATAGTAGGCAGTAGATTTGGGGCTTATAAAGTAGGCAGTAGACATGGGGCCTCTACTTAGATAGTAGGCAGCAGGCATTGGGTAGAACTCAAGGATCCTTGTCCTGTCCAAGTGCCAGGGGTGATTGTAGATACACAGAAGTGGGCATCAGTCATCGTCTATTGCAGAGTGGTGTAGGTGCACCCACCTGGTAAAAATGGGGCTTCAAAACCAAAATCTTTATAGTGGATGGGTGAGAGGGGGTGTTCAGAACATCTACATCTCATCTCCTGATCTCAATACATCTGAACCTAGTTGGGAATTTGCTAAACACAGGCTATCAAACAATTCCGCTCTAAAATGTTTAAATGCTCCTGAGACTTTTAAAGGGGCATTGTGGGATTGGATATTGTCAGTAATACATTTTTTGCTGTTAATCAACTGTGTGTTTATGTCTCTGATTGCATCCCAAGTGTCAACCTGCTTATTGTGTTTCATGTTGTTTTAGGAACCAATGAAGTCAAGAGCCCCACAGCTTCATCTGGAATACAGGTTCTACAAGATGCTGGGTCAATACGGTGAGTTTACAACCGGGCCAATTTACTATGTGCCTCCCTACAGTGGATGGGACGCACGTGTGCGTGCGTGCGTGCGTGCGTGCGTGCGTGCGTGCGTTTGTGTCTGACGCCAGAGTTTACAGTACGAACCATGAAACGAGGACGCAGCCTCGACGTTAATGCAGTCAGCAGGAGAGATGAGAACGTACTGCTTGTGGGTCCAATGACAGCAGGGGCCAGCATGATGCTAGCTGTAGCGCTCACAGAAATATGCCCTAGTACAGCGCCTTTGTTGTTGCCCTCTCTCAGCTTGCGAATGTTGCAGAATCCTGTCTTGCCTGACTTGCATGGGGTGATACTCCATAATAGGAGTGTTCCCAACTTTAATGTCATTAATGGTCATAATAACATATATATATATATATATGGTCATATATTAGTTTGTGGTTTAATGTCATTTAGGTTAGGGTTAGGATTATCAATCATTAATCATTAATCATTAATCATTAATGATATCAAAGTTGGGAACACTCCTAATGGAGCGTTAGCCTGTATTTTAATGCTAATATAGAAAAATGTCTTTTCACCCTTTAGCCATAGTGATTTTGGTAGGTTCCATGCAGGTTCGGATAGTTATCATAAACAAGAAAGGTGTTGCAGCCTTATAAAAGAGAATGTGTACAAATTTATGTTGTCTGAATGGCTCAGACGTATAGAAGAATTTTATTAATGCCCAGCACTTATATGAAGCTGCAAAAAGCACCAAATTGCCCGATTAACCATCCTCACCCAACCACTATTTAGTAGTTTGATTATACATGTTTAACAACTAGTGTAATCTAATCAGGAGTATGGATGTACAACGTTAGTTTTGATGTCATTTTTATTGGGTTTCACATAATAAATCATAGGTAAATTGCGGCATGGAAATTTGGACTTCCTTGTATTTCGAGCGAGTCATACTCCTCTCTATATTATATACACTCCTGATCTAATGAATTAGCAGCCTGCTGTATTTTACGTTTTTGCGTAAAAAAATGATTTCAAAACCATTGGATTTCTGTTTTCGTAATCAAATTCACAGTGATGTTATCTGCTCGTGTTAAATGTGTGATTCGGAAGTGTCTCGCAATGGTTGATGTGTTAGAGATAATAAAAGTGATAATAGTGATAATAGTGTAGTGTTATGCTTATTAACATAGTATATCAGTAACTAGAAGGGTCACATATTGACCAGCTAGTGATATAATACATTGAAGTGTTACATTTATTGACGTAATAGTGGTAACTAGAAATGTCACATTCATTGGCAATTTGGCATAATAGTGGTAACTAGAAATGTCACATTTATTGGCATAATAGTGTTAACTAGAAATGTCACATTAATATAATTGGCATAATAGTGGTAACATGAAGTGTCACCTTTATTGACGTAATAGTGGTAAGGCCAAAACAAAATATAGGTGTGGTTACGGTTTCCCGACCGACCATTGCTTGTAATAAAACAAAATTTTGTACCATCAATAATGTGCAAACCTCAATAAAAATTGCGTCAAATGAGCTTAAAGCTATAGACATTATAGACAGTTAAATGATGATCACAAATTACAGTAAAATAAGTTAGTAAATCAAGGTATGTTGTAGAAGTGACAGTGTTTAGAAGGGTTTTTCAATGTGATCCGACAGATAAGTTTTAGAGGTGACATGCAGTGATTAAGAATGGGGTTATTAAATTAATCCACGTATGTTTTGTTCTGTGTATGAATTCCGATAAAATGTCTGATAAAATGTCCTTGAATTTCCGATAAAATGTCCTTGAAAAAAATTGCAGTCCTCCTGTATGAACCATGTACATGTTATAGAAGCGGACTATCTGTTATAGAAGCAGTCTGCATGTTATAATAACGGGCTACAATCCCTACATGTTATAGAAGCATGCTACATGTTATAGATGCATGCTACATGTAAGAGAAGCAGGCTACATGTTCTAAGCATGCTATATGTTATAGAAGCATGCTACTTGTTATAGAAGCAATCTGCATGTTATAGAGGCAAGCTACATGGTATAGGGTAAGCTACGTGCTATAGAAATATGATTTATGTTATAGGGGCAGGCCATGCACAGCCAATCACTTGCCTCTACCGTGGCAGTAATTTCTAGTAGAAAGCACTACTCTTTTGAACTACATATATATATATATATGTATCTTTAGAAGTAATTATACATGCTTTAAGCTCAGGTTTTTATACATGCTTAGGCTCAGTCACACATTCAGGATTTTTACTGCCGTCCTTGATAGGACCATTCCCGATTAAAATTTGTCAAAAGTCTGATAAAGATCCTGTGATTCGTGGCGGGAAATTCAAACTTTATTAAAAATTTGTAAAAACAGTTATTTAATCACGACAACAATCAGATATATTGTTCAGGAAGCGTACCGATTCAGCCGTTTCCAGCCGAATTCGTCCCGATTCTCCAGTTCTCAATCTGATTCTGATCCGATTTGTATCTTTCGCAATTAAGGTAAAAAAACAACAAAATCTGTCCCGACAGCATCCAGATTCTCCCGAATGCGATCCGACAGAGATCAGACAGTGACCCGACAGTGAACCGACGCTGACGGAAGACATCCGTTAGATCTGGACGCAATCTGGACTCAATCGGCAAGAAACGGCAATGAAAAATTTCTCCAGATCATACCCGTTTATCACGACAGCATCCCGATCCACAGGACATGCACCGTCCAGACAACACAGGACATTGTTACAATTTTGATCTGATATGTACAGCAGAATCTGTCACGACATAGTCACGATTGTAATCCGACTAGACAAAATCGGCTGAGTTTCCCGAATGTTACGGGACGCACCTAACTGTCGGGAGTACTTGGCCGACCTCTCCGGACCATTCCCGNCATGCGTGCGTGCGTGCGTGCGTGCGTGCGTGTGTGCATGCCTGTGCGCGTGTGTTTGCTCTTATATCGTGGCCCAGATAGGCCAGTCTGGGCCACCATACCCCTGCGTATGTCAGGGCGTACCGTCATCTGCTGTTGCTATCACTGGCTCGGTCTCTCTCTCGCTCCCTCTCTCTTGCTCTCTCGCTGCTCCCCACTCTCCCCTTCTCTCCCCCCTCTCTCCTCCCCTCTCTCCCCCTCTCTCTCCCTTCAAGCTGGGAAGCACTGACTGGCCACACTTGTTTCCATGTAAATCATTTGACCGTGACTTCACTACCTAACCTCACCACTTCCCTCCCCTCCCCCCTCTTTTCTTCCCGTTCTCTCGCCTTGCTGGGAAATCTTAGTTGGCATAATATATCCTAGCAGGCAGCACTGTTTACTGGAAGACATGCGGCCTTGACGTCACTGCCAATTCGCTCCTCTTTCCTGTCGAAGTTGTATAGACATGAATAAAGTAGCGCATGTGGAACAGCATTACGTGGCTGCTGTTGCTACAGTTCCCTGTGCAGGCAGCTGCTGTAACTATGAAATGTTAGAATAAACCGATCCACGGTTTGTTAGCATGCTCTCTCGCGTGCTCTCTCTCTGTCTCTCTGTCTCTCTTTCTCTCTCTCTCTCTCTCTCTC